ATCTTTTATGATGAGACAACTACAATTCAAAAAAATTATAGATAAACAATGCAAATACATTATCAATCAAGTGCTAACTCCTGCACTAGAATATCTAATCCAGGACACAATCTTATCCCAACAAGAATGTAATGTTATCAACAGCAAAATCATAGTGCTCTTCAAACATAAATTAGCTCTTATAACAATGGCAATCAACAGTGGAATTCATCTCTACACAGGATATAAAATCTTCAACATATATGACAGACAGGTCAAACTATTAACCACAAGATGGCTCCAGGATTTCAATGAGATGAACATTACCAAACAAATCACAAGAACAAAGTTACAGCACCTATAGAACTGGGCATGGACCATCAAAGATATCATATATGCTGAATACACTATTACAATGGCTTCATATAAAAATCTAACAGTACAGATCCTAAATATATTAAAACTAAACAACCTTCAAATAAGGGCAATGGCAGCATACAAACTGATATCACCTCTATCTCAAAATAACTGGACACTAATCAAAGAACATATGATATATAAATAGTATAATAAAAACAAAACCAACCTAAGAAAACACAATCTCTTTTACCTGGAACAAATAATGAACATCACCAACTCTCACTGCATTACATGGACACATTTCAAAACCAGGATAGGAGCAAAATATATAGGACACAAATCCAACTGGTTTTAGGAGATTATTCAATAACAAGAATATAATAACATCTCCTCTCCTAGGACAACAATAAATACATTCACTACTTGCGACCTGGCAAATCAAGAGAATATTCGAAAACACAGATATATCTCTGCTATCTTTAATCAAAACATATATATAGAAAAGGTAAACAAACAGGCCAAGGTTCTGGAAACTCATTCAAAGCACAGCACTTTATACAAATAACAGATAACTCATCTATTGAAAAATGCAAAGGATGCAACATGAATACAGGAGAGAAATAAACACATACACCAGAAGAATACAACTGAAAGAGGTGATTACACTTTCAGTCAAAACAACAAAAATCAGTTCAAAACTTTTCAACCAGATAATAGAAAACCTCTCATGGATACAAACCTTGCACATATGGAGCAATTCAATATCAGAGGAGGACAACATAATTCATATAGAAATCAACAACAGCAGCAACAAATCAACATCAAACATATCGAATCTGAAAACACTAAAACTGCAGAGATCAATACAATAAGAACTAGAACATATCCAAGAACAAATACAAGATTAGAAATTTACAGAGGTATATACAGATGGATCTATGGAAAAATATGATAACAATCAAGTAAAAATAGAAGTAGGAGGCATAATCATTAAAAGGGAAACACTTGAAGAAATAGAATTCAAAGGCAAATGCAAAGGTTTCCCATCATTCACAAGAGCAGAGTTAATGGCAATACTGATAGCAATAATACTTCTCAATCCAAAAACAGAAACAATCATATTTACAAACAGCCAGTATATGATTTAGGTGATATAATCAGAAACTACAGTAAAACAAAAGATGGTGAAAGAAACAAATATACTTATAACAACTCTCATCCAGGAGAAGATTAGAGACAGGATAGCAATAATAACACTAAAAAAGATCAAAGCACATACAGGAGAAAAATACAATGATTATGCAGACCAGCTGGCAAAGGAAGGCAATGAGCTTGACTACACATATATCATAGGTATAAACTGTTAACACATAAAAGAAATGATAGGAATGCTACAATGAAACAGTAAAGACCTGAACATAGGAACCAATGGATTCATGAAGCAATAGTAAAACAGCAGGTGGATTAGTATATGGGCAACACAAAGAAGACATAAAGCATAGTTAAACACAAGCAATGAAAAAATAATAGATTGGAGAAGAACATGAGCAAGCCTATCACCATCAAAGATTACAAGCTTTCATATCAACCAACAAGACCATAACAATAGAAGGTTCAGATACAAACTAACAATGAAGAGCTTCCTACCAAGGACAAGCTAAATGAGAGAAGGCCAGATATATACAAGGATAAAATATGCCCTTGGTACAACAGATAGAAAACTACAGAACACGTGTTCAGTGAACACTACAGGTAAGAGATTAGAATTACATACCTATAAATACTAAAAAAAAAAATAACAAGTAGGATAGAAACACAAGAAAGAAGAAGGAATTGGAGGAAACAACTTGAATTCATTATCAATAACTCAGAAAGAACTATCAGATATATAATCAAGAAAATCTACAAAAAGGATCTCACTAAGCTGATAGGACAAATCAATGGGGAAAAAATTAAAGATATATTAAGAACAGTTACAAACAGAATGACAGAGAAACTCTGAAAACTCTGAATCCATAGATGCGATAAATTTCAGCAATGGGAAAAAGAAGAAAATATAAGCAGAAGGGAAAAAAGAGAAAAAAAATGAAGACTCCAAGTCGATACCCAAGCCACACATACAAGGCAATGCAGGTCACTACTAGAAAGAATGGAAGAAGCAAGAAGACTACAAAGAAAACTCTTAGAGAACTGGCTTGACTGGAGAAAAAACATAATCAATTTCAATTTCTTTTATTATTTATATAATAACAATACTAATGGAGCTCTGGTACGTTAGCCTAAGGATCCTAACGATTCTCTTCGATTCTGTATTTGATTTTTAAGTTTATATTAAATTTAATAGGTGAGGTATACTCCACTATCATTTTTAATAATGTTCTGAATCTTATGCAATTCTGTTCGATTCTATTTGATTTCAATTTTCGGAACCATACGTTAGCCTTGACATATGCTGCAAAGTAAGTCAATAGCAATAAGCTAATATAGAGTTAAATCAATATAACAAAACATGTATCTAAAATAGTTTATAGATAGTAAGTCTTGTAACAAGAAATAAATATATAAACTAAATAAAGTATATTGGGCAAGGTCTTGCTAGTTAAAAAGAAAAAAATTTTTTTATTATTATATTATAAAAAATATATATTTAAAGTTTTATATTAATTAAATAATTATTTATTAAGTTATATTAAAAAATATTAGTCCAAAGACTTTTGTAACACACTGTATATAGAAGTTGTATCCTGCTTGATATTTTTTGCCTTTAAATTTGATAGCTTAAGCCAACTAATTCATTTGGAATATTTATTAGAAGATTTTGAAATCACATCATACTTGACCTTAGAGTCTCTTAGATTTGGTAGTTGGTAATAATCAAAAACTACAATTTCAAAGTATTTACTAAAAAATATATATCTATATTTAATCCCTTCTGAATCCATAGCTGTATAAGTTGAAGTTATGATATGAAAAGTTATTTATTAATTATAAATATATATCAAGTTAATTTTTTTCTCTTTTTTTTCTTCCATTAATTTTTTTGAGTAGAAATCTTGACTATTCAATACTATTTTTGATATATAATAGTTTTAATATTTGTTTTACTTGTACTTAGATAGTTGTATATATGTAGACTAGAATTAGACTTATTAGTTTATTAAGTTATATAAAAGATATTATTGCTTTCTATATATAAAGTTTAAATAATTTTATTGTAAATAAAATGATAAAGTTTTTCTATGTTAAAAAAAAAAAAGTAATAATTTAGCTTGTAAAGATATTTGATATAATAGTAGAATATTAATTATTAATAAAAATCTTATATTTAATGTTCTTAACCAATTAAAATTTTTTTTATAATAATATAAATATAATTATAATTATAATTATAAATATAATTTATAGATTTTAAAATTATTTAATATTTTGATTAAATATAAAAAATTAATTATTAATAAATAAAATTATACTTTTATAATTTTATTTGATTTTTTTTTAAAAAAAATCTTAATAAAAATAAACAAATGGTTTTTTTTATATTATATTTGACTTATAAGTTATAAAAAAAATTTAATTTAACAAGAATTTTTTTTTAAAGAGTTTATTATTATTTATTAATTAATTAAAACAATAATTTTTTTAAAAAATATAATTTTAAAAAAAATATTGATTATAAAAAAATTTTTAATAGAAAATCAATAGTCGTTTAATATAATTTTTAAGAATAAATTTTAAAATAATATTTTGTTATTAAAAATTTATTATTTAACTTATATTATTTTGAAATAAAAAAGTTTAAAAGTTTACTACTTGAAAAACTTTTTAAAATTTAATTTATTATTTTCTTTCACTTGCTTTGATACCAATTTTATAGAAATATTAATAAATTAATCAAATATATAAATATTCAAAAATATAATTGTTTTTATTTAAACAACTTTTCAAATTATTTATGTATATACAGTATATACAGTATATTGAACTTATTTAATTGCATATATATATAGTGATTTATATTTAATAGTATATGAATTTATATGTAAGAAAAGAGAATAAATATTATAAATCTTTATGAAACGGCTTGAATTTTCAAATTTTTTATTGTCCTGAATCACGACATCGTATTAATTTGACCATTTATAAAAAAAAAAGTAGTTACCTAATTACGTATCTTAATAACATACTCGTATGATGTATGATAGGCAAGCGGCTTAGATTTACAAAAAAAGCATACGATCACATTATGGCAAGGCACAGTATATTTAAAATAACAATTAAAAAAAAATAAAATAACAAGAAAAAAGAGATATTTTTTTATTTAATAAAATCACATTAAATATTTAATAATAATTGATTTATGGAATTTTCCAGAAATTCTAGAGTATTCTAATGATACGAAGATTATAACGAAAATATAAAATGATATAAAAAATAACTATAGACAGAGAATTTTTATTTTTCAATATATCAGTCTTTCAGAATACGTAATAAATTCCATTTAGAATAATCAAAAATAACAAACTTAATTTTGATTTCCATTCTTATCGATGACCAAATTGCATGAACACAAATATAATAATGACCTACCATACTTTATATAGCGTATTATTCCTGAATTCAAAACAGACATCAAGTGTACTTTTTAGATTCGCAATTTCACAATGGCTTCCTCTCCCACACAAAGAACTTTTAATGCAATTTCCAGGCTTGATATGAAAGAACAAACCATTGACGAAATGTATGGTATACCAGAAAACTTTCTAGAGATCGAAGTGCGCAATCCTCAAACTCACGGTATGCGTACATGGTTGTTCTTTAAACATAAGATGCTATATACTGATTACATTTGACCTTGCCAGGATTCGGTCGTAAAATGTTCACAGACTATGAGATTGTTTGTAAGGTAAATCCTACGCGATACTCCATTTAAGACGTTTATGTGAAATTTTTTTGGAAATTAATAATATATCTCGTTAGACGAATATCCCTGCCTTCAAATTGAAGAACTCATCCGTCAGAAGGAGATACAGTGATTTTGAATGGTTCCGTGATGTTCTTGAACGCGAGACATCGAGAGTCAACATTCCTCCTTTACCTGGCAAAGTCTTCACCAACCGTTTTGCGGATGAAGTCATTGAAACTCGTAGGGAAGGACTTGAACGATTTCTACAGATGTGAGTTTTCTTATTTAGTGTTTTATTTGATCCCGCGATGGATATTTATTACCTTTAATCAAGTAACTCACAAATGTATGCATACCTTAGTGTTGCCGGTCATCCACTTCTGCAAACTGGAAGCAAGGTTCTATCTGCATTTATTCAAGATCCCAATTTCAATCGCGATGTCTATAATTATTAAAATTACGTTTTTTTATGGGAATTTGCGATTGTGTGTGATATACGTATTTTCATCGGATTATCGTGTTTTAAATGTACGAGCATTTTTCGATTATATTTAGCTAGTCGAGACATTTTTTATTCAGCAACGGCATCCTACTTTTATCGACGTTTATTTGTAATAAAATAGAGATTCGCTGCCAATGCGGAATCTCTTTGTAATAATATAATAATAATAACAATATGTATATGCATTGAATTGAATAATGAATTATTGGTGGGTGATCGGGCATTGGTGTTATTTTAATTTCTAGATACCATAATTGTATAATTGGTGTAGATATTTTTACTCATTTTACTTTCCTTAAAGGGTTTAATAAAAAAATCATATAGGGGTTGGGTAGGTTTAATATCAATGTGGCAATTTGATTATCATTAAGGAAAGAGACTGAAATCCGTTTAATTTGAAAAAAAAATTTTTTTTTGGAGGGGTGACATGGAAACTCGTGATCTTGGTGCTTTTTGCCAGACTTTAACACAAAATTATCAATTGCGGTACAAAGAAAAAGTTCTCGGAGGCAACCTTATAAACCAGCAGCCTGGATCAAGCCTTTAGCTTTTGTCAATACTTCATATGCACACGAAGTATAAGGACTATCAATTCCGTTATAAATTTTACAATTTTCAACCATTAATTTGATATCATCCATAAAATCACCGATGGAATTGTATCCGCTGGCAAAGTTTTTCTAAACAAAATTGTAATGAATTAATAATATGCATAATAATAAGAATGTAATATAGAAATAACATATACTAACTCTTTCCATGGTTGACAGGTCAATAGGATTTTTTATGATATCTTTGTAATCAGGAGCTAGTTGGTCAGTGACAGGTTGACGAAAAGGTTGTGCCTGAATTTTTTATATTCATTAGTAATCGATCATTCTAATGGGAATTAAATGTGTATATGTACCGATTCTGTATCCCACAGCTTTTTTATTATGTCCGAGATTATGTCCGTCAATGAAAAAGTTCGTTTACGTTTTCTATCGTTAGTAGAATCTACGTCAGGAGCATGACGCTTGTGCTTGGGTAGTTCAGCTATTTAATTTAATAAGTTTCATCATAGAATTCATAAATTAAATCGCTAAAAGTTTCCAACAAGAAAGTGACTCACTTGAGGACTTAGAATTCTTATTGGATCCCCTATAACAAATTAACGATTCTATAAACTTAAATGATCTTAAATGTCATATCAAAATAAAAAATCGTACTTACTTTTCAGATGTTGACTTTGTAATTATCGAAATCTTGTTCCCTCCTACTTTAACAATAAGGGATGTATCTTGTGCATTCGCCGAAGGAGCTGACGGACCAGCTGTAGGACTTGATGGTGCATCTGCAACAGAGTTCATGCCATACCTTGGACACTTCTTGTTTGTTTTCATATGACCAGTTTGCCCACAGTTACCGCAACGCCTCTGACATTACGTGGTATTATAAATTTCGTTGGAAAAAATTTTACAATTAATAACAAAAAAAGCACGCACAAAAAAAAAGTTAATTACTGAAGTTTCTGGTTTTTTGTCTTTCGAGAAAGGTGTAGGGGCATTTTCAGCAGTCGCGGCTGCCTTAGCTGCTTCGCGAGCATTTTTGCGTTGCTGGCGCCTTTCTTGGTTTCGACGTAACTTCGCCAACTGATCTTGAATTCTACATAGTGGAAAAAAAGTTAACATAAAGTTAAGCCACAGTAATGGTGCGTCAACAAAATATTATATGCCTTTTTTTCAATCTCTTGTTTTTTTCTTCGTCGTTAGTTGGCTCCAATAGTTCGGCACTAATGAAG